AAAAGCTTTAGATCATTAATTGAAGGATCTAAATGAACCAATCGAGAACATCGCTCAAGAATCGAGTATCTCCACATTTGGGCAACAGGAGAAGGCTAAGGGCTAACTAATAAGTCCCCACAACCTGTAAGATTCAAGACTTTCAAACACTTCATCTGCAAAACGGGGGAAAAAGTTCATTTGGCATAGAACTCTCAATGTACTTAAGGGCCAACGCGAACACAACAACAAATGAGCTATAGATCCACCTTAATTCTTTTCCAACCTCCCCAGATTCAGCAACCTTACTCCACGAAAGATCAAGAATAACCAGGTTCTCATTTTTTCTAAATGAAAGCTAATTGCATCTCGAGGGCACCCTTGCCAATGAAGCCACCGAACGTTCAATAAGGCATCTGCAAATTGTCCACCGATATTGGCGTGACCCAAGCTGAGAAATGTCGTGTTCGGCAGGATCTCAAAGCCTGCCTCTTCAGTGTTAAGGTGGTCTGTTCCTACATGATGGACCACAAAAGTCAAGTAGAGAAATATGTGGAAGTATTCAGATAATGAAATAATTACTATGGATGCCTAAACTCCCGTGAGGTAAATCGAAAAACAAATTAAGGCCCAAATGGTACTGTTTTCCCCGACATACCTTTCTCCCCTTGTTCGTGTCCTGGGCTATGGCAGGAATGTACAATACAACCCCTGTTCCTGGATCACGGAAACCTTTGCGGATAATCTCCCTGGCAAGGGCACCTTAGCATACCGTGCATGCCTATTTTATTTTCTTCGATTTGTATTAGGGACATATGATGAAGGACCTCGATTTCAGGACGATCATAAGGATGCCACATATACGAGGCAATCCTACAATCCACCTCGGAGGAAAACATGCAATATCAAGATACATCTGCTTTCGCTTTCGATCCGATGCATCATAAATTATGCGCAGAATCTTCGGTAATCTTCCTGAAATTTTTGTATGAGATATTCGAATTCAATCCAATCATCTACTCCTCTATCGTGCAAAAAGAACCAAAAACTTTGAGAAGTAGTGGAAGTCCCTTCGCAGCCTTGACTATTTTGTTTGCAATATCAACATAAAAATGTAGTTTATCTCTCTTTCCGATTTGCACGGTGCCAGAAAAAAAGTCAAAGCTAGATCATGATGCATCGGAATAACATCATAAGCACGAGCCAAACCTCGATCAACAAACCCTTGAAGACCGCTTCTTTCTTTTGAGGTGGCAATTATCCTGCCTGTCGAACTAAACCAATCAAGCTCGGGTCCTACAAACTCCTCGAGGAGGTACCCTTTCCACGCTCATCGAGAACAATGAGAATTTTTCATATTCCTAAATATTTCTTTCAAAATCGTACTTCTTTGAAAGCAAAAGCAACCTCAAACTCTCTTTTCAAAATATCACGAGATCAACTTGGTTTCAAGATATTGAACACCACCAGTTGCTTCATTGTTTCTTCAATCTCCGCAAGAAAAGCGCAAGTGTCAAAGCGAAGGATATTCGGTCATATACAATCTTGGCAAGAGCAGTCTTTCCAATTCCATCTCTCCCATGGATTCCAACAATTCAGATCATCATTTACTTCTAGTTCCAATAATTCCATTATTTTCGATTCTTGACTGTCTTGAAGCTCCTATAAAGGTACTTAAATTTAGGAGAATGTTGGTTAGAAGAGAAGTGAAGAAATATACAGAGGTACTGTTAGTTCCAGATGATAAGGCCATTCTCTGAAATATGTGTTTTGAATGTGTCTGCCAATCAATTATATGCCTTGCTAGTTGAGATGTTGTAACTAAAGTTTAGCTGACATAGTAGATAGATAGTTGAAGGTAACCTCCACTGAAGTTCCCTCAACACAATCGTTCCCCTCCATGCATCTCATTTAAGCTAAAGATACGATAGTAAACCTGCTGTCTCTATTATGGAAAGATCTAATAAGTAAATCTGGTTTTGCTAAGCATCAAAAAGCCTAATCTGACTAACATACCTGTTTCTTGTCCTATGTAGTCTGAAAAGGAAGCACAAAAAATGTGACTACCAGCCTTATCAGGGATCATCTCCGAGTTGCCGCAGTGATAAATTCAGTAGGAGTTTACCTTGAGATCTCATTTATATGTTTAAGACCTATAATGACTAAAACTTAATGCCACAGAAAAGAGGAAGAAAGCACAAACATAATTTGAACAATCCCATCTCACACTGCTTCCGCTGTTAAAATGCCGATCCAATTTCTAGAGTCTTCTAGGATAGACATGTGCTAGAAAAGTCCGGAAAAATCCTACAAAAATCTAATCCTTGAGCGGCAGTGGAAGTGTCTGGAGTCCACTAAAGCCTGTGTAGAAGAATCCATAAAGGATATCGCTCCAACATGGCAGAGATATTTGCCTTGCAAGTCGGTTTACAAGGCTCTGGCGGTGGAAATCTGCAAGGATAAAATGAACCGAAATCTCTGACTTGAGCCGAAATTTTCTAATGTTTAAGTTGGTTGCAAGCCTATAAAAGGCTTAGGTCGTCCAAAACATATACTCTTGGAGGACCAACCAACTAAGTTCTTCTCCTTCCTTTTGCATTAACAATTAAATAATAAAAGCTTTTTTCCCTTGTTCCAATGTGCTGCTTTGCCGTGAAACTCCACTCTCATACGCACATCCCTTGTTGTTTCTTTGCCAAGTACAGCGCACGTACACACTTGTACATCAACACCAAAAATTAACAGTGGTATCAAAGCCTTGTTTGGTTGATATTGAGATTTATCCTAACCACCCTCTACTGAAATCACTCACCTAAATCTCCGACACAAAAACTATGCCAATTCTACCTCTTCGCTCATTCCTAGTTTCGACGGAAATAACTATGACCGTTGGAGCATTAAAATGACTACTTTCCTGATGACTCAAGATTTATGGGACATCATGGAGAAAATCACTAACGTGGCGGTCTAGTCATCACCATATGTCCTACATGGAATACTGCCTTAATCAGAAGGATTACATTGGAATATTGTGCAAAGGTTTAAGATTAAATTGGCAAAATTGGAATATTTGTGGCTGAATTGGCATATGTACAATAGGTTTAGCACCAATCAGATAATTTTCCCCTTTTAAAAAGTGCTCTTGATGCACTTGTTTTGCAACAAATGAGGATATTGAAGTTTTCAATATATTGACAGGCCTTTAATATGCACAATCGATGCTCAACAAATGCTTTGGGACAAGATTCATACAAATTACATATGGGCTCTATTTATAGAGGATCGAGAGTTGAGAGACACTACAAAACCCTAATTGTCTTATTTAACACTCACCTAATATGGCAAATTATACTTCAACACTCCCCCTCTAGAAGTGTATAAGAATGTTCAAATCTACTTACATAGATTTGTTACCCCATTTAATTAAGCGTGTCTAGTTTAACCGTGTTAAAAAACAAGTCAAAAGACATCAACTCATTCACGACACGCTTCTTACTTGTGTATAGTCTGCTTGACCAATCCATGATACATTGCAACTAAGTATAATCTTAACACACTTATCCTAGTAGCATTCCCGTGTCGTGCAATTGGGTCAACCCCAGCGGTTGCATAAGGCTGTGGTGATCGGAAAAAGGTGACTTCGTTGTTTCAGAAGGCAATTATGGGATTTTTGGCTTCTACATATAGTTGCATTTCAAACAATGCTTCCATGAGTAAACAATGTGGTAATCGTTTGCCAGATAAAACAAAAGCGACAAATATAATATATAAGAATTTCTAAAAGTAATGTTTTAGTAAAAGTCACTTTTGATGCATCGACTCTCCTTAACAAAGGAAAGGAAGGAGGCATTCTTGAATCACTAATACCGTGAACTTAACACCTACTTTGCCACCAGTTTTGTGTAATAAAAAGAACTCTGTAGTAACATTTTTGTGTGGTGGTCTAAAATGACAAATTACTATACATCCAGCTATTCTACTCAAATGTAATTATTAAGTGAAGAATTGTCCCCCGATTTTTGGTGGATTCTATTCTTGCAAGGGTAATTAGCTACTGAAAAATTGATGTATATGCAAGCTACTTTGGATTTCAGACGATGACTTACATTCTCTTGTAGTTTTAGTTCATGTGTTTGCTTTCTTTTTTTCTATTATATTCTAACTATACAACAACTGTATAATCTTGAAAAAATATTTTGTGGTGATTTGACTTTTTATTTATAAGATGTAAACACACTTTAGGAGAAACCAACTTCATCAGCAGGTACAATCTTTAGAGGAAGTACTCCAGAAGAGAGGAAAATAGGAGCAAAGAAATGTACCGAGGTCCTGTGAGATAACATGGGTCCCTGAAACCCGGCATCTGCTTGAGCCTGCTAAAGTCAATCAAATCCCTTGTCAGTCATAAACTTGCCATTAAGGTTAAAGTAGATAGGGAGTCGAATATAACCATTTTCAAATGACTTGTATGAACATTGATTAAGTTCGCTATGGCTTCCAGTGGATCAGCACCAGTATATAGATCTTTAGGCTCATAATTATGCTCTATGTTGGCTTTGAGTGGAACAGCACCAGTGAATAGATCTTCATGCTCTATATCGGTTTTGAGTGGCCCAGCACTGGTGGATAGATCTTCAGTTGCATAGCTATGCTCTATGTTGGCTTTGAGTGGACCAGCACCAGTGAATAGACCTTCATGCACTATATCGGTTTTGAGTGGCTCAGCACCGATGAATAGATCTTCAGGCGCATATTTATGCTCTATGTTGGCTTTGAGTGGTCCAGCACCAGTGAATAGAACCTCATGCTCTATATCAGTTTTGAGTGACTCAATATCAGTTTTGAGTGACTCAGCATCAGTGAATAGATCTTCAGGCGCATATTTATGCTCTATGTTGGCTTTGAGTGGTCCGTGCACCAGTGAATAGATCTTCATGCTCTATATCAGTTTTGAGTAACTCAATATCAATTTTGAGTGACTCAGCATCAGATGAATAGATCTTCAGGCGCATATTTATGCTCTATGTTGGCTTTGGTGGTCCAGCACCAGTGAATAGATCTTCATGCTCTATATCAGTTTTGAGTGCCTCAGCACCAGTGAATAGATCTTCATGCTCTATATCGATTTTGAGTGCCTCAGCACTGGTGGATAGATCTTCAGGCGCATAATTGTGCTCTATCTTCAGCTTAGGCGAAATTTCTCCAACAATTGTTGTGATAAGTTCCCTTTCACTGCCACCGCAGAAAAATCTCAGTTCCAAACCATTAACAGATCCGATCTGAGGACATACCACCCAACGCACTACATGATGAAACAACGATTTGGTTGTGCTAAAAGATCACTGATCTTTAACTGCAGAACATGATTTACCTGATGCAAAGGTATATTAAACATACTAAACTGATGTTTTGTAATTGTATGATCGTGGGATAATGCCATTGCAGAAAGAATTTAGTCCGACCATCGGATTATCCTGTCACCATTCACCATTGGGGTAAAAAATATCACTCCACCACGGGTTGAATTACAGAATGACACGAACATGTGGATGAATAATTAAACTTTTATAGATAGTTCACTGGGCCAAACTGAGATATTTGTGTAAACGTGGTCAATTCGAGAGAAGGATTTCGCCTGAAATAGAAAGAAGAGGGACTTGAAAATTTTAACCCCGTTAATTCCCATGAACAATTTCCTCTTTTTCTGTAGTTTTGTATCCATAAAGCTTTGAAACAGGCTCAGTAACGATTATAAACCCAAGCAAAGTGAACAAAAACAATTTAGAGTCCAAAGCAGAGTCGACCAATATTTGCTTTTTGGCTGGGAAAAGGTTGTTGAGTTTCCTTTTCTTACATTCTCGATACTACCTCGGTCGATTGAGCAAAGAAATCCAGAGAAACCTACAAGAGAATAAGACAGATGTAGCATACCCTTTATATGAACATCGTTCCCATCCCTTGACTTTACCAGCCTCCGCAAGAGCCTTCTCCCACTTCTCGACTTTCTCAGCGCCAAACCACAACCTGTGCGAGTCCAGGGCGTCTCCGTAGAGTGATTTTTTTTCCATATTCACATCAGACCACTCCACATCGTAGAGAACGGGTAGGATCTCTTTCTTCCCACCTGATCTAGAAGTGTGTTCTACCATGAGTTCGAGTGCGTCAAGGCACCGAGTGCTGAAAGGGTAGTTCACAGAAAAGATAGGTATGTAGATCCTGGAGCTGTAGACGGATAGCGGAAGCTCACCATCTCTGAAAACACGAATTCCGTCGGCTTTCAAGCAGTGATAGAGGCTATCGGCGAATGCACAACTATCGATTCCTGAACTCAGGAACACATCATACGTTGACTCAGCCTCTAAGTTTATCATATCTTGATTCCGCCTCTCCAGTTCATCGTCGATCCTTTCCCGTTCACTTTGCTCCAGCCTCGCGTTCCATCTTCGCCTTTTTCCCGATTATCGCCACCGCATTCAGCCATACTTGATTCAAACTCTAACTTTATAGAATCTTGATTGAGCCTTGCTGCTTCATCTTCTCCCGCCTCTTCTCCGTTTTCTGCATGCGGATTCTACCTTGGGTTTGTAAAGAATAATCAAGTCAACCGTGTCGGTCCGGGTTTGCCTTGCCCCTCCTCTAATTATTTATCACGAATGAGATATTACTTGTTTTAGTACATGTTTTGTCAAATATAAGTAATTGTTATAAAGAACAGTGGACAACCTCATCGACCGGATAAGAAATGAACGGTCAGAAGTGACGGCAAGCCTTTGGGGTGCTCAAGTCAAGATTCCCATAGCTTCTGTAAGCTTCTTAGATCCGAGCGAATCTGTGTTTTGTTCTTTTGGCTTTTTCTTGAGCTTCTCTCACTTATGGACGTCTGCACTAATCTCTCGTGGTTTCCATCTACTAGATGGCCCAACGTTACCCGCTATGAAGTCTTTCTCAGTTTCAGAGGAGGAGATGTTCGGAGGGGCTTCCTTGGATGTCTCCACAAAGCCTCATTGATTCAGGGATTGATGCATTTGTCGACTGTGAGGAATTGAGATCGGAGAAGAGATCATGGAAAAGATCTTCAAGTCATCAGGCAGTCGGAGATATGCATTCCCATTTTCTCCAAAGATTTCGCTTCCAGTAAGAGTTGTCTGAAGGAGGTAGAGAAAATGGTGGAGTGTCAACGGACAATCATGCCCATTTTCTACGACGTCACCCCTTCAGTCGTCGGCAAACAGCAGGAAAGTTACCAGCGGTCATTTCGCAACCATGCGGCCCAGGGGGTGGAGTCAGCGACTATAAACAAGTGGAAGGAGGCTCTGCAGAGTGTTTCAGGAAAACGAGGATGGGAATTGGAGAAATTCCAACACGGGTAATTTGAAATCAAGATTTCGATGCTTTTCTATTTCTCCAACACCAGTGATCTAGTATGAAATCAAATGAGTGCATTATCCGACCATTCGTTCCTTTTCACCTCTTCCTCTTTCCTTCTTTTCCCATTTGACAGGGATCATCAACTTATAAAGGAGGTCGTTTCCACAGTCCGCTGGCTGTTGAGGAAGGATGAGTTAGATGTGACAGAACATCTGGTGGGGATGGATCACCATGTGCAAGAGATGATGACAAAACTTGGTGTTCACTATGAAAATGGACAAGTGGTTGAAGGGCAAGCGCTGACGGGGAAAACATGTGGTTGAAATGTCGGGCCTTTCAGGGATCGGTAAGTCGACTCTTGCCAAGATTGTCTTCAATAAAATCCGTCATCTCTTTGAGAGTTGGAGCTTCCTTAATGATATCCATGGAAAGGATGAGGAAAGGAGACTCCTATCTCTCCAAGAAGATTTAATTAGTGACCTCCAAAGAAACGATGTACACTCAGATCTTCTGCTGAAGGTACCACATTTATCAAGTACAAATTTAGAAATCTGAGGGTTCTCATTATCCTTGATGACGTGAGTGATTTTAAACAAATCAATTCACTAGCCGGAGATCCAAGTTGGTTTGGTCTAGGAAGCAGGATCATCGTGATCTCTATGAGAAGCAATCTTGTCGACAAGTATAATCAGGCGCCCGTGACCTTTGGAAGCAGCAGTATTGTTAACAGTTGTGATGACATCCTCGTTGAAAATACGAGTTAAGGCAAATGAATAATGATCATGCTTTTCAACTATTCTGTAAATATGCTTTTAGAGGAAAACCTCTTCAAGAGGAATTCTGCTCTTTGGCATGGGACATTAGTTTGGCTGCTGGAGGAATCCCTTTTGTTATTGAGATTGTTGGTTCATTTTTGCATGGAAAGATCGTAGAGTTTTGGAAGGAGGCATTGGGTAGATTGAACCGAGAGCCTTACAATGAGGAAGTAAAACGAATTCTGAAGAGAAGATATGAAGATTTAGATAAATATGCCCAAGAAATATTTCTTGATATAGCATGTTTTTTCGTGGGAAAGGACAAGACAATACCCTCTTACATGTGGGAAGCTTGTAAATATGATCCTTATAGAGGAATCGACGAGCTTCATAACATGTCTTTGGTAAAAACCAGAGAAAATAATGAATTGTGGATGCATAATCAGCTAAAAGTCCTTGGGATGGACATTGTCAAGGAAAAAATCCAAGAAAACCTTTCAAGTGGAGCAGGTTATGGAATCAGGAGGATATTGAACTGGCATTGAATGAAAGGAAGGTAAGTTTTGAAGACAAGGAAGTCTCTTTTTATAGTCTGAATTAAAGTACTTTTTTTACTACTTAATTCTATTCTCAGAGATGATTGTGAATGCACTTCTATTTCACTTTCTCCTTTACCATTTTTCCACGATTGGCAGGTCGCTGCGGTTGAAATGCTTAGTGCCACATTTGACAAATCCCGTTCATTTCCTGAACATATATTTTTTGTTATTTCTCTAAGCTTCGGTATCTTAAAATGGACGATGATATTATCAAAGGATGTGAGCAGAGAGTAGATCTTTTCCTTCCGTGCTTAAAGTGGCTTGAATGGCAAAAGGTGCCCCAATATCTCCACTCTACTTGCTTTAGATCTATCAAACTTGGTCATTCTTGATCTATCTTGGAGTACCTCCATAAGTTGGCAGTGTTGGAGACAAATTATGGAGGTATGAAGACATATATTTGCATTTTTTCCTCATGTTTGATAATAGCTTGTAGTAAACAAGGCTTTCATATTCTCTTGTATTGCAGAAGGCCAAAAACTTGAAAGTTTTGATCCTAAAAGGTTGTGGTTGGCTAGCTGAATCTCCAGTTTTCCATGCTTCCGTAAACTTAGAGAGACTAAACTTTGAACATTGTTCTACATTACCGGGTGTTGATAGATCCATTAGTGAGCTAAGGAATTTACGTTCTTTGAATATCAAGTTCTGCAGCTTCGTGCAAGAGTTGCCAAAAGATATGGGTTACTTAAAAGCTTTGAAAGAGCTTTATATCGATGGAACTTCCATTAAAGCCATTGATTTCCCGGAAGGTTCATATGAGAAGCTCGAAATTCTGAGTGCTTGCAACTGTAAATCCTTGTCTTTATCCAGTTCAATTGGCAACTTAAAATCTCTTTGTACCTAGCATTGGACAATACTGAACTCAGTGAGCTCCCTGATTCTATCGGATCGCTGGAGAATCTTCAGACCCTATCTCTGAGAAACTGCGGGAGCTTGTGGAAACTGCCAGATTCCATCGGAGACCTCAAGGAGCTGCAGGTCCTGGATCTTTCTGACGCAATAGTCGACCAACTACCTTCCTCTGTCAAGGATTTGCGAAACTTGAAAGTACTAAAGATGGCTCGCACTTTTTAACAGAATTTCCCGGAGGCATTAAGAATCTAGAGAGGTTAGAAGAGATAGATTTCTCGGGCTGCAGAAGTTTGACGGGGGAATGTGACATTACGGGATTATCCTCTTTGCGGGTCTTACTTCGAGAAAATACTGATATTTCTCAGGTGATTGGGACGGATGGTCAGCTCTTATCTCCCAAACCACGGACTAGATGGCAGTGCTCGCATCTCGAAAGCTGGAACTACTGAAGGAGCACAGCATCGGACCAACGGATGTGAGACTACGACAACGTTCCAGGATGACGGACATCACATCAGCATGCCGATGATGAGTCAGAGACCTAGCGAGGTTGCGGTCAGACAGAAGAAAAAGCTTTCGGTGGATGTGGTTTGGCTTGTTGTTGACACCTAAATTTTGCCCAAATCATTTGAGGTTTTATCGCATAAAAATTAGGGATTTAATTTTAACCCCTAAGCCAAAAATACTTTTATTAAATTCCATGGCATATAGACATTAGGCACATTTGCATTAATATAGCCTATTAGGACATATTCATTAAAAAAAAAAAAGATTTTCGAGCCGGGTTCGTCGGCCCATTCTTTTTTCCTTGTTTTTCTTTTATCGGCGCTGCCCGTGTTCCCCTTTCCATTTTCAGCGCGGGCTGGCCCATTTCCCACGGCCCGGCCCGCAAGACTGTTCATAGCCTCCTCCCAGGTCAACGCGTTTCGAAAGTGTATTGGAGGAACGAGGGCGAACGCCACGGAGAACGAGAGACTGGAGGGCGCGGGGGACGCGGCGCGATCTTCGGGAGTCGGGAAGCGGGCGCCGCGGCCGGGCGGTGGCAGGGGGCCATGCTGCGCCGTCATTGTGGCCAGCGCCGTTGGTCGCGTCCTTAAAGCCGTGGGGGTCCGGGAGGAGACATGGGAGAGAGAGAACCGAGAGAGATCCGAGGGAGAGAGTGAGGCCGAGAGGCGTTGGCGAGAGAAATTCGAGGCCAAGCGGGCTCCGTCGATGACCGTCGCGCCTCAAGCCGCGGTGCGAAGCTCCGACGATTCTTGCAGTGGGTCCCGGCTCCAAGCCGTCGGGTTTTCTTGTTCGGTTTGATTAGGGTAATTTCGAGGATTCGGGCCTTGGGGCGTGCGAAGCGGCGGACGTAGTCCGATCCATCAAGTTCAGCCGTCGTTCGCCGCCCCCAAGTCGGATAGGGGTGCCCGCATAGCAGCACCCTCCCCTGTTTTTGCTTGTTCACCGGGTTCCACTTTGGCCGGAGCTCGCGCCGTCCGGGCTCGCATGTGATTCCGCCATGACCCCCTGGCACGCTTTGTTCGTGTATTGTCTTGTGTTGACGATTTTGGCCCGTTTCGAGCCTCGATCGAGTCCGAAATTTCCGTTTTCAGCGCGCTCAGTTTGTTTGATGTTTTGCTGAGTGAGATCTGTGCGTTGTTTTCCTGCATGTACGTGATGCATTTTCTCGAACAGGCGGGAGATCGGTCAGCCTCCTTTGCGATCCAACCGAGCTGGCTTGTCGTCAGGCGAACGATGAAGGTCCGCAAGAGGGGGCGACGCACGAGCGGGGAGCTCGTTTGTGCGTCCCTAAATCGGGTGGCTCAGCCCAGGTCGTGGCCGGGCCATCCCCTCGTCTGGGGCTCGAT